TCTAAACGACACGGCGATGGATGGCTTTTGTCTTTTCTCGTCGATCGTTTGTTCAATGTCATTGGCTGATGTTTTCGATTGAATATCGTTGAAACGTGCTGTTGTTTCCGTTTGCGTATCATGCATGTCATTCATCTCCATAATTAAACGAATAGGTTTATTCTTATCGAATGACTCTTCCCTTTGTCTGCCATCATTCACAGTAAAGGTCACCGTGACGCCATGACGGGCACATTGAGTAAAATGCATTTCTTCTCCAATTATATTCTTGTCAACATCGTGTTCAACATAATAGCTGGCACATCCGATGGTATATGGATCACCAGAGTTTTTGGTAAACTTGAATCCAACGTAGTCATTTTCCTGTACTTGGAACGGTTCAACTTTGAATTCTTGAATTCCGACAGATAATTTGAGATTGGTGATAAACGAGTTCGTCTGTTCTTGCACGAAAAAATGTTCGAGATCACTTGATATTGATTTAATAACGTATATTTTGATTTGTGCGCGGGGATCAGTGGGGCATGTACAAAAATTGATCAAAATTTTATTGATAGAGCCAGCATGAACAACACGATTACCAACATTGAAGACAATCAAATCCGTCACATTAGCGTTTAATTCACTACTGTCATCGAGGAAACTGTAGACACCGTCTGAACAAGAAAACAAATCAGGATTAACTCAGAAGAATCTTGAATTTTTTGGATCCTATTCATGTTCTCTCTACTGTTTTCAGGGTAGGTGTGGGTGTAGGTGTAGCAAAACGACTATAGCTATGTACACACCCACATTCTCCAGTAGCTGTAACCAATATGATTTGTTAATTGTACCGTAGTCGGCGAGATTCATTTCTAATGTGCTTACCTTTTTTCTTGCCGAGAGATCGAAACAATATAACGACTAGTTGAATGGCATAGTATAATATATTCAATGGCGATGGTATTGGAGATTTAATCGCATACTCTTTAACGAGTAGAAACCGATGATAAGCCCAATCTTTCTGTGCATTACTGTTGGTTTTTGCAAGCGTAACACTAGAAGTAGAATAATGAATGCAATGTTATAGCGCAACGTCAGTTTAATGGTTCAGACTAAATTTTGTCGTAAAGGATGACATGTTGACCTTTTTTCTAAGACTACTGAAAATAAACGAAATTTCTAGCACTCACCGTATTGACTTTCTCCTTGTTAAACGCACTGCTTTTTACCCAGACAGACAAGAATTTCAGAAAATGCATTCAAATGCTATAGAAAGTGTTTACTTTGGGCGTTCAAACATATGTCTGGTGAAATGATGGTAAAAATCGCTAAAAAGAGTAAATTTTAAGCTTTTATACGTACATATTTTGCACTTACATTGTTTGTACCCGCTTACACGCGTTTTCAGAAATTTATGTCTACTTGAGTGACCATGTAAGTGATTTTAGTCATTAGATTTCTCCATACATTAAACGTTAATAGTCTACTTGACTTTGCTAATCAGTCAACTGAGTATATATCTGTTGTGTGCTATGATTTGTGTAATCTTAGATAAATACATGGCCTCCAAAGAGCTTTCTGTTTATCTAAACTGCTTCGTCAGATATTTCTTTCATATTATAAGTGTTTTGAAGAAGTAGAACTTTGCAAAAATCTCTACCCAATTGTCTCTAAAATGTCGAGCGCGGAAAGTATTAAGTTTTTAGAATACATTCTCAGATGTTAATCAAATTTCCATTTTTTTAAAAATCTTTTTTGATGAATGATATTTTCGCTACAGAAGTTTGACAACCATCTTATACCATAGATATTGATGAGACCTATTCAAGAATGCATTGCTCCATGACAAAATCAGAGCACTTGGAAGCTCAGAAATAGTCATTGATTTCTGTTTCGTTTAGTTAGAATTTTGCTTTTGAATATCTATCTAATCTATGATGACACGTAAAAGATTGAATGCTCACTTAAAGAGAGCCACAAGTACGTTGAGTAGAAGTACATTGGCGATGCAGACAAAGACAATTGTCAACACAAATGCAGTATTTCCATAGGCATCAGTAGCAGCTATGTGGAGATATTTCGGATATCATGAACTTCACTATGATATATCTTACCTGTAATGCTCGATGCAGAAACTTGTCTGTAGTCTATAAGATCGATTTGTCCATAAACTTTCCACATGCCCCAATCGATGATATTCCGTAAAAGATTCCATGTCCCGAGACCGATCCCGTTCTGACTAATATTGTACGTGTGAGAAGGTGAACCATCTTCGTTTGGAATCCAGGTAACTTGATATGGAGTAGTGATTAATGCATAAGAACTGATTGAATAGGCAGCAAGAAAAACAAAAATGAAATAAATGAAGAAGACCAAATCTTTCATCTAGATAGCAATCAGAACCAGTCAAATTAGGAATACAGAATACTTATACTTACTGTGTTAAATATCATTAATAATTTAGGTCCAAGCCGTTCGTAGACGGTGAACAGATGTAGGATACGTACGTACCAAAGAAAGAGATCAATGCACATAAAAATTCTTTGAAATACACAGGAAGCAATAGAATAAGAAATAAACATCAAACAAACTAACTTTGAGACGATGAAGGCTTGTTCGATGACAATGAATCTTGTAATGAACCCGATGAGGTAGATGAAAATAGCCAGAGCATCGAGTATATTCCATGCATCTTCGAGAAAATACGAAGACACAATAGTACGTATGGATCTATTACTATTCAGTTTTTTACGGCAATGAATTCCAAACTAAACATAGACTGTTACATATGTATTTTTATCGAATCAACTCAAAAGTGACAAGCAGTGTCATAATAAAGTGATTTTCTTGTACCTCAACAAGTTCTTCAATGATCAAACCCCACAGACACAAATGAAGAATGATTTCAGTGATTGGAATGCCGATTAAATATGTACTACGTTCACCCCCATTGTTATTGTATGGAAAATAATCGACAAGCATAACAAAACTGAAGAGACCAAGAACGAGTACATAAAATATCTGCAATGGTGTCGAATGTATGATTGTTTTTAAGTTGAGTGTCATTACTTACGATATTATAATAGTATCGAACAATGGCTCTTCCATTAAAGAAATCCGTGAGTCTATCATAGATAATCCGTTTTGGCCAGCTGCGTGTTGTCCTATTTTAGAAGTCTATTGCCCATGTGAAAACTTTTGTCAAAAAAATCTTATTCTAATCGAAAAACTTAATGATGGATGATCAATTAAAATCATTTCTTTGAATTACATTAATCTGAGAAATTGATCAAGAATTTAATCGATTATAATCAACTTTTTCGCACAAAAGAAATTTTACATGGGTGAGTATCAGCAAGATATACTTTTTTTCAAACTCACATTTGGTTTTTGGTTGGCGACCGAATAAATCGATAAATTCCAGAGAATGTTACGAGAAAAGGAAAAATACACAGGAAACACGTCTGTAATATTTTAAAATCTCAATAATTAAATAAAATTCAACAATGCATCACCGACCAATACATTAATGGTAGTTCTTCTATAGATAGGCTGGTCAGCAGGACCATACCAGAGTCGATCTGCATATGCTTGCACACATCTACTGGCTAGAAATGAACGACTATTCGATTCTTCGGCTAGTTCTATCGGTGTATAGTCGAAATACATATTTGATTGTGTTGTCAATAGTTGAAGAGTAAAATGTTCATCTGTAGAAAAACATTTATCAATAATTTGTGCTGCATATATATCAAATTGTCTGATACACAAAACAGAATATATCATGAAAGAAATTTAAAAAAAGCCTCGTCATACTTCTTTTTTGAAAGATATTCTCGTTTTTGCTCTGTGGATTCGGTCAATTCAGCTGCTTTTTTATAGATTTTACTAGCCACGAGAGAAGCAACAATGGTGTTCTATAGTACAATCATAAAAGACGAATTTGCTTATGATTCAAAAAATAAGAAAAGACGTACTGGACTGTGTGAACATAAGCATATGGACATATTAAAGTTGGCAGCAAATATTGACCACAAAAAAATATCACGAATGAATTCTAAACAAACAATTTATTGACTTTCGTGTATATTTATATTCGAATAGGATCTTCAAATCTCGATTGATTTAATAGTAGTGCCCTATTCAGTTATGAGAGATTTTATCCGATCTATATAATGATACTATTTTGTGAAAGTCTTACGAGTTTAATCAAATCAACACGGTTGATAAGTAATAATCGCACCTGATGTAGGAATCAGCTGGAAGCTAATAGCTATCCTCCTATCACTCCTCTTGAATTTAATCGAAGCATTGGTGGAATATACTTCATTGACTGCGTCGAGGCTAAGTGAGTAACACAAACTCGAACCATCCAAGTAGCATGGCGAAGGCGAGTTCTTGTCGAAGCCAATAGCTAAGTATTGGCCTTGTTCCAGGTAGACATTGGAGTTGTTTAAATAAAGTATTGCTATGCTATGGTTAAGTTCAAAATCATTCTCGGATATCTTCTGCATATGGAGTACTTGAAAAGAGTTAAGATCCGATGCTGGCGAAAGGACGTAGAGGACTATATTATTTGATATGTCCATAGTCATCGATGTATTGCGAGAGTCTGAAAAAACTATCGAAACTTGTCTTATGTAGCCATTTTGTCTAACAGCAGCGTCTCCGTTGAATACAACGAATCCATTCAGATTTTCCTCTAGTTTAATGGGATTTTCAATACTGCCATACATATCGATACTGCCTAGAATTGAAAGTAAAAGTCAGAAACAATATTTATAACCATGCTCGTTGTCGTACTCTGGTGTGCCGCTTGCTTTTCCTGAAACAGAAAAACTATGATTTTCTTGAACTTGACTGATGAGATTATTTTACTTCGAGAGATTTAGTTATTTTTGGAGCTTCGGTGTTCAGATATTGTTTGTAATACATTTGTTGTTTGTTGTTACCGGTATGTAAGGTTTCTTGATCCAATAATGGTAGGCCAGATTTCTATCAATATGCAAAGTTATACATCAATTCTGCAGAATCTCTCTCACTTTCTTGTATAAGTCATCAAGATTGATCAATCGTCGAAGACGATCAAATGATGCACCTTGTTCAATGAGAAGTTCGACAAACTGCACAGAGTCATGTTGTATTGCATGAATTAAAGCACTATCCAGTTGAGCATCCTATTGAAATTAATTAAAAGTCAAAAACAAATATTCTCTTCTCTTTTAGTGCTCACTGTCCACAATTTTTTGTTGTTTTCATTGAATATGTCTGAGACGACCAAATCGAATTTTTTCCAAGCCATAGCCAATTTAAGCTTTTGTACGTGAACATGAGACTCTTCATGATTGAGCAGGGTTACTGTGTTAAATAAAAAATGATTCAAAAGTAGATTTGTATTAAATGAGTACCTCGGAATAATGCTTCGAGTATGGCATCACTCAATTTGAATTCGGAATCGCCAGGACACAATGAAAAAGTATTGATTAACAAGAAGCCTTTTTCCGACATTATCATGTTACAAAAACGCTGTTTATTACTTTTTGTGATGATGTTGTCGGATTCTTCTTTTATTAGCCATTCTCTAAAACACAAGTTAAATCTTTTGAGAAACTATACTTGGATATTACAGAGTAGAATTCTTGTTTGTTGGTTGTACATATGTTGTTCGATTGCGATATAATGCATTATATGCCTTTGCAATAAAATTAGCCGCTCTGCCTGTGCCCTGTGAAAGTGAGAGTGTATGTTATTGTTGCTGTTATTGCTTTCATATCGAGCATTTACCTCAATGACAACAACAGGCGTTTCATGGGTTACTGCTTCAATGACTGTTAAAAGGGATGAAGGACCACCTTCGATCAGGATTTGAACAATTGGAATTTTATAGTCTATCGAACAAAACATAATGAGTAGGCAAACACCATATAATGTTAATTACTTTGTCTATAATGTGAGCTACAACGAGCTTCTTGTTCAATTTCAGCACGCAACTGAATAGTGAGGTCGGCTCGAACATTACACTTGTTTCTTTGCCATTTCTCATCATCTTCACCCCATTTATCGTCGAGAAGAATAAAGTGAGTATGATTTGGATCGAGAGGATATGATTGGGGCTCATCTTGCGGTGCATGATTACGATAGAGTTTCTCGCAATTAGTTTCTATGTCATCCATCGATATGGATGTCGGTCTCTAAACAATAATTTTGTTTTTCAAGCAGCTTATGTAAAGTATATAACATACTCTTCCACTATTCCGTTCTGTGAATCGGTTTTGAATGAGTTGTTTATAATCTGTTTTTTGAAAAATAAAAAGAACTTTACGAGAAAATAATATGTTGATTTTCTCTTACTTGTTGTATAATACCAACTTGCAATCCCAATAACTGGAACTCGAGCATGGGTCTTATCTACACCGCTACTCTTGTATGTCCATTTTTCGAATGCATCACCTACATCTTTCATAACTCCAGCATGCGTTCCTCCAGTAAACACCCAGGCATCTGTTCAAAGATAGAGATACATAGAAAACAAATCTTGATTTTTACCAGTAGTGACAGCAGCCGAGACAAGACCCTTTTGAAGAGCGACACGACTTCTTGCTGCCAAATTGAAGATCTTGGCGCTGCCTGTAACTGAGATGATTAATTCAGGCGGAGGCAATTCCCATTTATCACGCAACAGTTCAAGAAGATGCTCAGTTGGTTTTCGTGTTACGGGCCTAACAGAAGCACCAGAATGGCTAGCGGCTAGTTTTTTATTCTTAGAAAAACGCGATTGAGCGTCTCTTTCTTCATCAGTATCTGCCATCGTCGTTTGTAGGTGTATCTCTTCTGGTTTTACTAATGAAACAGCGTTAGGTGGATCAAATGGATAACGTACGTACTAAATTAAATTAGACCAATATCCTCAACAAAAAAGTTTTAGACTTACCCATGATTTACGATCATTCTGTGTGAAATGTATTTGCCCATAATCTTCAATTCTACAACATGCAAATCAAGGATGGAATAAAGTAAACAAATGAAATACTCACTTTTCTTTCGGATATTGTCGATTATATTCTATCACCCACTAGAATGCAGAAAAAATATTTCTAGTTGGATGATTAAGTTGTGTCTACTGCTTGCCTGATGGACGGCCTTCCTAATTCGGATGTTCGATTCTAACTGCGAAGAATTTGTCTCAGTGTTTTCCTTATTGTGTGTCCGTATATTCTTCATTATACATTTATTGCGAATACTGTGATAGCAGTCCTTTCTAACGATTTTATCTCATGCAAAAAAGAAGATAATGTGAAAGTATTCAGTCTCTTTTTCTTTGCTCAAAAACGAAACATTAACTGATACGTCTGTCATGATAAGGCTGATTGTGGTAACGATCGAACAAACAGTGATAAGAATGAAGCAAGCGAACAAAGTTTGTTCTGCATAAAATAGCGAGTTGGGTGTTGGTGAGTGCAGGTGTAAAACTTTATGTTACTCAGACCGGCAGCATATTTCTCGGAAACTAAGACCTGTCTAGGAAAAATGGCAGCACAAATAAAATCTTTTCTATAATCTTTATCGGTCGGCTGCATGGTGGATTTTATTAAAGCAGAAAAAATGATTCTGTTTGCAGGAAATTAATAAAAGTTATATCATTTTGTTTGCTTCATGTGCACTCGAGTATATTTGACATTGGTAAGAAAGACGAGTTTCGTTAAAAGCAAACGAAAAATAGAGGAAGATAGTTCATGATAAGACAATGTAATATTTTTTACATATCAGTAATAGCTTTGTTTTACGTAGCTTAATGTTATTTTGCTTTTACTTATCGAATGTGTTACTCATGAAAGAAAATGAGTATCAGGTAGAAATGAATAATTGTTTTAGTGCTTACGTATAGGAATAGCTACTAATATGAGTTCGACTATGCCACTTACTTCTAATTGCTTTATATCATTTGAATTGGAAAGTTAAAAAACTAAGACCAGTAGTGGCTGAATAGATAAATAAAAATTCGAATTATTCATTGATCCTGGCTTTGAATGTACAAATTATAAAGTTATCAAGGCACAACATAGTTTAATGCTTCTACTTATTACAAAAAAAAGATCTGAATTATTCATGTTTCTTCCCATGTGAAAATTTATCGGGTCTAAACGTGTTTTAAAGCGCGTTTTGAATGCGTTCGAGCGCGCCTTAGAGTCGAACGCATCCAGACGCGTGCACTACAGCATATGCGTTTGAAGAAATTTACGAAAAAAAAAAATATATTGTACTCACAGATTCTCGCTGCGGCACCATCACAACGACGTGACGATCAATTCTTTCCTAGAGGCATAGTACAGAACAAGCGATTTAGTGACTCACGATATTTGCTACAAGTGCGATGATGAAGGCTAGAATAGGAGAACTTATAATCGATGAACAAGTAACTTACGTCTGAGCTATATCTGCTCGTCAGAATGTATTCTTGATGACGATATCTTTGCATTTCTAATTAAGAAAATTTATTTCGAGGCGAGATACAATAGGTTATGAAGTTATATGCAAGGATCATTTTATACTGACATTGTTTTTTCTAGAAATTGAACTATACATGTCGAACGACATCGAAATAATTACCACATGTTTTATTCGAGCTTATACACCTTTTCAGTTAGTTTTTGCTACATAACTGATCAAAAATTAAATGAAAAGGATTTTTAATAAACAGTTTTGACTTTCTCGAATATGAAACTAGCACAATATTTTAAAACAGTATCTCCATAAATAAGTAATAAAATCTGCAACTTCAAAGAAATCAAAAAAGTCACCTGTAGAAATACTATTTTATTACTACGTATTTATCTATAAAATGAGACGAAAAGCCAGACAAATATTTTTGATCTTCAAAATGAGCATCATAGATTTTAGAATTGGATTCATTGACGAATTTTATAAAACCATAAAGAAAAAGACGAATGACATTTTAATTGTAAAACAATAAAACGACGAAGACATATCATGAAACTATAGTATTGTAGAAAATAACTTTATCTTTATTACCTATTCAACATACTGTAATAATCAACAGCATCAAATAAAGTATATAACGGCATCTTGTTTGACATAGTCTTATAAAATAAAAATGTGATATGTAGAAATTTTATTGTTTTTCAGGTATTGTTTATATGAGACAAAAAGACAAAAAAGCAGAGAAAAAGAAAGATATTGTTAGTCTTCGAGATAAAACAATTACGAACGTTAATGATTGGATCGATGCTAGCACATTAAGAAAAAAACAAATATAAGATCATAATTAAAAACAAATAAATGAAATTCTACATTTCATTTTGTTCTTGTCTGAGACTTAAACTAAGAACACTATATATTTGTATATGGCAACGACGATTTTCATTATATTTAAGCAGAAAGAAAAACTACATGAGTTGCAATATATTCTTTCGATGTGTCTAACGTTATAATATGCATAACTGATTATTAATATGATTCTACTTAATCTCGTGTTGATTGTTGATTAAAACTTAATTTAACGAATTTATATTGATGATATTAGAAATTTTGATATCAAGATATAACTTTTAGTATTATTATTATTATTATAGGTACATAGCATTCGCTTAGATTTCTTACTGTTATTTATGGTTTCACGATTTTCACTGGATTTGTTTTTTTTTCTAATTACGATCTCGTATTTGTTTTTTTCTATTCTTTTAAAATCATTAAAATCATTCAAATCTAACGTTCGTAATCTTTCTATCTCGAAGATCAACAATTTATTTTTTTCTTCTCCTGTCTCTTTGTCTCATATGAACAATATATAAACAAAAATAAAATTTCTACATTTTTCACATTTTTATTTTATAAGACTAAGTAAAACAAAATGTGCTATATGCTCCACTTGATGTTTGTTAAATCAGCTAAGGATGTCATTCTAATTTAGCTGTCAATGAATCGAGTAATTCAAATAATTAGCGTGAATTTTCTCTACGAAAAAAGAATCAAGTACTCGCACAATGAATGGATAAGTAACAATAGTATAGATTGTTTATAACTATTTTCATGACAGAATAATTTTATGTTGTTGAAAGAGTCTAACGTATAGTGTTATGTGTTTAATAGCATTCTATATAAAACTTCTTTCGTGTTTCGAAATTTGAATATAGGTATTCAATCATTGCCTCATCGATAATACTTTCTTTGTTTAATCATGTGGCGCTATCGTTTTTAAGATCTAAAATATCGGCACATTTATGTCTGTCACCAAACATAAGATAAAACAACGGTTCAATCGAGAAAAAATAAACAGTTAATATAACTTTTTAATCTTTTTTCACGACTGTTTTTCAGTCATTCAAATGCACAGAACAAGTCTAGTTTTAAAATATAATACTGAGGTTTTTAGATCATGTAACAATCTCAGTCGATTCAATGTATCATACTTCAACAACATCCTCGTTTCGAGCAATGTTATCATCTAGTATTTATAAGACGTAAACCAAAAATTTAGGTTTCTTTTGGTTTTGGATAGCCATCAAAACACATTTATATGTGATGATAAAATTTAACTTTTAACATTTCTAAAGTAATGTTCTATTCAGAATTATGTAAAAAATTGAAAGAAGCCCATTATATAAAAGCAATTGTTCATATTTTAGGCAAAAAATCGTGTTCACTATGTTTTTAATGAGAGATGTCACAGTTTCATATTGAATTTAGCTTAATCAAACTTTCTGATTTTAATGACAATCGAATTTAAAATAAATGACTCGCGCTATCAAATAAAAAAACATATTGATGGGTATTTACTTATATGATGTTTCACTGTAGATCAGAACATTAGCTTCTATGCAATGATATATAGTAGAAAAGCAAAAGAAAAAATCAAAATCGTTCAAATTACACAATAACTAGACTAACATGTACATTTTTCGTACACAAATCATATTCAATATACGTTACGGTAAAAATAGATATCAATAAAATTCACAATAAATCTGAACACTCTTATTCTCAAACCATAGAGTAAAATCAAAATTGATTTCCTTCTTCCAGAATACGTGATCTCGAGATACTTTCAAAAAAAAAATGACTGGTGTAATTTCATTCAAATAATATTCTTCTACATCGAATTATCTGATGCTTTGCTTGGACTTTGCTGTATATGATTTAAAATTCTTGCCTTTTGCGAAGAGGATTGTAATTTCTCAGAGACGAGTTCGAAAAAACCTATGCTCATGCTTTTAGGATGCATCTGCATGCATCCATAAGTTCAAAAAGTGATCAATCGCGTCTTTATCTTTACAATTGTGAGACGCGTTTTGGAAACGCGAGTGAACGCGTCCCATTAATGTTTTGCAACATAATCGCGTCTTGGCGCATTTAAAACGCACTTAAACGCGTGTGATATGCGTTTGAGTTTCACATGGGATTAGTAGTCAAACAACATACACATTTGAGATACGAATATATCTTTTTATAAGCTGAAGGCACTGCTGACTATACTTTTCCCCTTTATTCAGAAACGTGCAATAAAGATTCGATATCAAACGTTGAAGCATAAATTCCATTAGTTTTCGCTGAAAAATTTGTAGCTTGTTCGTCAATGAATATATGTAAAAGTTCTCAATGATTACCCCTATCTACGTAGAAACAACAACGACTCATCAACGAAACTTCACATATAAATCATCGTTGTAATCTAAATACTGCTTCGATGTTTATATTTACGAGAGCGAGATTTTTTTTCTATGCAACACACTTTACTGAACACTTCTGCTGTCATCAATCGAATTTTGAAAAGATACTGATTGGAGTTCACTTATAAAATCTCTATTTCAGGTCTCGAACAGGGAATGACTCAACCAAAAGTAATTGACTTATCGAATGAAATGTTTATAGAAATTTTTAAATATTTCGATATTAGTGATTTATTCTATTTACTGTATGTTTTAACTACTGGACTGAACACTCTTCTCGAGCAGTGTCATCCTTATCATTTGACCCCGTCTACCACCTAGAACTGTAAGTTCGTTCATTAACAATACCAAGTGGTGACCAAATATTATTATTTCATGAATTATTTTCAATGGCACTGCCCATCAATATTTGCCTAGACTTGGCCGCATGTGACATTCAACCACTCAATTTTATTGATTTAGTACATCATTTATGTCGTTTCGAGAATTTATCATCACTATCAACAGTCATAAAATACCTGAAACTAATATTCCCAAGTCGGGCACGGTTAATTTCACCGCTCAGAACAATAACCAATTCAAACAATCTGAAATATATAATGTTGAAATATTCTACAATTGCGAATGTATTCTTTCTACTTCATTATCTGCCCAACTTAATATATATATTCATTCATTATGTTGTGAGAGCACTAGCGGTTTAGCAAGAAAAGTAACAATAATAAATCTGAAAATCAAGACTGAAGACTCATCATATACAGCATTCGAAAATCTGACAGCATGATGAATTGAAATGCCTCATTTAAAAATATTCTCATTGAAGGCATCTGGGAAATATTTTACTGATGTAGGATGTGGGTGTGAGTACGAGCGTTGGTTTCAATGAGTGTAGATATGGCTCATCTCTTAACCCACACCCACAATCCCACACCGTTATATAATATGATTCCTTTGCAGAAAAATGGATTTTTTCGCAAGTAGGCGTTTTTCTTAAGAAACCTAAAAAATGGATGATTTTAAATTCAATTGATTGGATTTTAATAGAAAAATGTATTGTAGCGTCGTCGTAATGATGGTTCTGGAATTTTTTTGAGTTTCTCGGAACGATCATGTATGACTGTTTCTGGTAATATTATGATCAGAGCTGGGCAAGTCAAGTCAAAAATGCCTCAAGTCAAGTCAAGTCAAGTCTGACTTGACTTGACTTGACTTGGTCGAAAAAATTTTGAGGTGTGACTTGACTTGATCGAAAAAATTTTGGGATGTGACTTGACTTGACTTGTGACTTGAGAAACCTTCAACTTTCCCAGCTCTGATTATGATGGTAAACGTTGGTGTATAGAGTTGTATGCGTTGGAAATGCGTTCGTGTTACGACGCGTATGCTAGCATTAATTTTTTTTGTACTACGCATTTTACAGCGCGGTGATAGACGACCATAATACATTTTTTTCTATATATTTTAATTAGAGTGTGAGTGTAAGTTATAAACTTCTCTTCACTCAGATCGACCACCACACCCACACCCTGGTCAAATGGTTAACCAATGCGTGAATTTGTTATATTATTTTCATTAGTTCAGTATTTGTTTGATGATTCTTCGGTATTCGATTGATTAAATTATCTTTTCTTTGTTTCGATTTCAGAATATAAAGCTTTAGGCAGAAATATTTTATATATGAAAAAAGTTCAGACTATGTCAAAAGATTCGGAACAAAAAGTTGGATCTTGTGCTCTGGCTGTTTTAAGATTGCAATTAATTAATTTCAGTCGACACATTCGATCACAAGAATTGCCCGATGTAGATGATTTCATAAAGAATTGATACACTAATCCCATTGTTTCACCATCAATATCATTTTCCAATCGTAATACGAAGTTATTCCATTCTTGTGGAGATAAATCTTTCATAGCATAAGCTGATTTTGCAGAGTATTCTTCGACAAATTTAGTTGAATTATATAGATTAGTAGCTGTTAAATTAAGAATCACCGTTCGATGATCGAGCACGGATGCTGAATTTTCACTCTATAGAATATAGCAAACATTTCAATAAGAATAAAATTAAAACTACTATCGATTTTAAAATATAACGTACTTTACTGTTGTTTAAAGGACTTTTGATAGAAACATCATAGAGACAGTCAGCAGCTATTGACAAATCAGATAAGTTCTTGGTGAAGATTTTTGAAAACGATATGCTGAAGTCGTTTTCCTTTTGACTTAGACTTGTAATATGATCAACGGATAGAAAAAAAAAATCTTCTCTTTCAATCTACACAAGGTTGAGATTCCAAGCCTGTTCTGTTCATGAGTAATAGAACTTTTCCTGAGACATCTAACTTCAGCCAATCGATCTGGAATCATCGTGAAAAGCAACTAGACAGGAGTAAGTTATTGTGCTAAGTCGAATGGGGGTATTGTTTTTTCTGTTTGGAATATTGATTCCTTCAATACATGGAACCAAAAAGCAACTATGATCATTTGATTCTCATAGCTTCTGAACGAAATAAGCTTGAAATCTCGACCTTGTATAGATCGAAAGAAAATGACTTCAAAAGATCGTTTGAGAAAATCTTTACTCAGAACTTATCTGATGGATCAATAGTTGACTAATCAAATCTTAATATACTTCTATTATTCAAGGCCTTTTGCTCTTGATTGGTAAAAACCGCAGGTCTCTGCAATGTTCTTATCAACAGTTATTCAAAAAGATAGTCGAACACATTATATTTTATAATGAATAGTANCCTTTATTTTTATTCGAAATACAAAGTAAACATATGAAGAAAGAAAAAGAACGCAAAGAATATACAATCAAAAGCCCATCAATCAATGTTCTTGTGAACGCATTTCAATAAATCTTTCTTTCTCTTTCATAATAACCGTGCTTGTTTCAGTCTCTTAGAAATGGAGATTTTCTCATGATTTCAATCATTCCTTGTTTATGAATGTTTTGTATAAATTAGCTAAAAGAATCTTTAAACGTCAGAAACTTTCTTGTATTTAGTTGCAATCTGTTTTCAAAGATACCAATGCTTGGACACGAAATGAAAGATAAATGAATGAGGAAAGAGAAAGAAAGATTTATTGAAATGCGTTCACAAGAACATTGATTGATGGGCTTTTGATTGTATATTCTTTGCGTTCTTTTTCTTTCTTCATATGTTTACTTTGTATTTCGAATAAAAATAAAGGAAAGCAGCTGTATAATATGGAGTCGTGGATTAGAGACATCCAAATCAATATCGCATTTTTGAGCCGGCTTTCAGCTCGCTCTGACCAGATTTTGTCCCATTTCACAGATCCCTCCTATCTGGGATGTTCAAAATATGAAAAAGAAATTTCAGAAGGCATGCTGATTCAACTATACTGCTTTATTTTTATTAAATAACATTTCACTGTTTAAATGCATCAGAAAAAAAATCAATATGTGCATATCAAGAAGAAAAAAGAAAATATATTTTTGATAAACAATCAACACAAATCGGGTATATTGCAATTTTTTTGTAGTTTCTTCAATTACAATTGGATTTTAATCAGTAGAAAATAATAAAAGCATAACAAACAAAACTAAATAATGATATTCAATATAAATGGCATTCGAAAATATAACAATTCTGAATGAAAGACATCATCGAAAATATTAAAAGGCTTGAAGAGCAAGAACATATCAGAACAGACTGAATTATTCTTTTCAGCTCTTATCCAATCAAATGAGACTCATGAAGAAACACAACATATAGCATTACGTAAGACAGATCTTGTCTGTTCTTATCTAATTGTGTGGAATCTGTCATGTTCTGTTACTTATTTAAGAATTGTTCATCCAATCACTTCTATCTTGAAGCAATACACATAACAAACAAAATTGTATTATGCAGAACAATGTTTTATATTATTGACCTACTAAAATAAATTTTGACTGGACAAATGTTTGATATAGAAGATTATTCAAAGCACAGATTTATCTCTCAACTTTTGATATAATAAAGAAAGTTGTTCTGTAAAATATATATTTGGAGAGAAATAATATAGCTAAAATAAAAAAAGGCTCGTCTACAATGAGACTTTTCCATGAGTTTTGATTCCTCCAAAAGTGCTTCAACGATCGCCTAACTTTACATGACAAGAGAAAGAGGCATCTGCCTTAGATATTGAATACTGTCAGATATAGAAGCTCAACAGAAAAATGTTGTATATTCAGTACATAAGAGATCTAGCAATTCGATACCATCATTTTCTAGATCATTCATTTCGACTAGTTTTGCTGTATTTCGATTATTGATGATATGCTACTGACACTTATTCAAATCAAAACAATACTTATCCCTTTGTATGCATGGGAAAAAGACAAACCGATATTCGCAAACATCGAGTCACGTAACCAAGGTGAGATTTTCTTACCATTATATTCTTTCCATTGTTTCTAAATTTTCGATACGTCAATCACATTATATGAAAAATGTCTGATGTACAAGTTTTGAAACTCTATCATAAAGTGATAACTTACAATGGAAGGGTTTGTACTGTCAGTGAATAAGATTAGACATATTCGGGTCAAATCAAAGCTCTCACTGCCGAACTAATAAATTTAACATATGAGCTGCTGTTGGCCTGCCTCGACAGAGATATTCAAATTTTAATGTAGTCACAATTTCAGTATATAAGCAGCAGAATATGAGAATTTCTCACATACATTTCATATATAATTAAGTGAATATTTCAACAGTACATTTCAAGAATCTTCCTGAAATTTATTAATTACATTAAGATCATACTACTTTCGATGTCTTCTGAAGATTAAGTGGTATTATAATAGACAAACATCATCTTTAATCCATAAAAAGTCGTACAGATCTATATTAACTATTTTATTTTAATGAAATCAACAGATGTACCGGATACCCAGTTAATATATCAATTCATTCACTACAAATCCAGATGTAGGTCTTCAATTAAATGATAGTACCAAAGGTGTTTTTTACACCAAGCGCAAATTTATAGTGTTCGTTCATCACAATTAGTAATGAAGCAATAGAGATCATAAAATTTGAAGCAAACATCTTTTGGTTTCTCAGGTTCTTCACTTGTTTCGTTGATTATTCGAGCTCGTATGAGCCCAGACTTGATAAGGTTTTCGAATTGTGAAGCTGATAATTGATTATGAATAACGGACTGTATATTAATGTAACATTGGCGATCAGTTATAGTAATTTCTGTACGATTGATATGAGTGTAATGCTCGATTTCCTTATGGATAAATCGCCATGAACGGAATAAAGATAAATCTTGCGTTTGAATATGACCAGTTGATTCTTCAGGAAAAATCAGTAATTGACTATCTTGATTTGGAAATACTGCTCTAAATTTTTTTAGATTAGCTTGAGTTTTCCAAGAATCAAGTAAAAGAAGAAATTTTTTACTAACCAAAGGCCGTACGACTTCATTTAAAAAAGTACGATGTTTTTCATCGCTGCTTCTTCCAGATTTTGAAGCTTGTATTACAACGTTTGGTGATACAACTAAATCTTTTTGCACTCTTTTACCGAATTGATCATCTTTTTCTTGAAGGATAAGTAAGAACTTGTCTAATAACCGACCATCAGCTGATGTAACAGGCTGTACTGTATAAGAATGTGTTGTATTGTTCTTCTTTTTAACAGCAACTTCTGTTGTTCTTTCGCCGGTATAAGACAGAGTTCTTGGTGGAACATGTTCTTGATGAAACGAACAATGATCGCTATTTAAAATTTCACGAGAAGAATAAATTGAAATTAAAGGTCTTTTACTTTCGACGCAGTTTTGAGCATCTAAAATATTCATATAAATCATATTAAGATAAATATTTCAACCCTCTAATGGGAGTTTACATACCTTCTAAACTGCTAACTTTTCTACTTGAGCTGGTTCGTGTTATAAGTTTGTTGTATCTTCTTGATGAGATTCGATTTTCTTTTTTAAATGTCTTGATAAATGACTGACTTGCTTTACAAGTATCCCAGTTTAATTTCCTTGCCTTTTGAATTGCATAAATTTCCGAGTCAATACCATGAACAGCTTCTTTTTTGATTGCTCTTTTTTTATAAAACTCGTCTAACATAAATTCTTTTATTTTTTCGAGTTTTTCAGCTCTTATTCCGCTGTTTTTGATATATTCCCTGAATCTTGTAATATAAGTCATAGATTTGATTTTTCGAAACCGATTGGAAATAGTTGCAAACCTAGCATTTGGATGTTGATCAACCCAATCAATTATATTTTCCATTTCTTCTAAAGTAAAGTGATTGTTGATATTAGCGTATTTATTTTCATCATAATCATCATCTTCATCAGACATTTCATCAAACTCATCATCGAATTCGAGAGTTTCATAAGTATAAATTTCACTAAAGTAACTGTCTTTGAATGACTTCAAAACTTCAAATAATTGCTGTGCGACCAAGATTTCATCGGAACTTATTGTAGAATCTTCTGAGCACAACTTGGTTTGAATCAAATATAGAAGGTGTTTGGCAATATTCAGTAAATTGATGCTTTTCTTTGATAAAATAAACTTTTTCCAGTAATAGATACAGAAACGAATAATAGAGATAATTCTTAAAAACTATCTTTCATTGTACGTTCTTGACACCAATCGAAAAGAGATAATCGATAGACCACCAAGTGATGCATCAATGAATTTAAAATTCAAACGCTTTACGTACGTGTTATTTTTCAAATATAACACGCATTCCATCTATATTTCTATATTATCTTAATTTTCAAAAGACATCGAAAGTAGTATGATCTTAATGTAATTAATAAATTTCAGGAAGATTCTTGAAGTGTACTATTGAAATATTCAGTTAATTATATATGAAATGTATGTGAGAAATTCTCATATCCTGTGGTTTATATACTGAAATTGTGACTACATTAAAATTTGAATATCTCTGTCGAGGCAGGCCAACAGCAGCTCATATTTTAAATATGTTAGTTTGGCAGTGAGAGCTTTGATTTGACCCGAATATGTCTAATCTTATGCACTGACAGTACAAACCCTTCCATTGCTAGCATATTTTCCAATTGACATGCAAAGCCTTGATTGTATGCAATACAATAATAGTTGAGACAAATGAGTGATATGAAAGTGAAATAACGTTAACATTCAAATAAAATAAAATTGATAGACAAGAAGACACTCTGAGAAACCTTCATCCATTACGGAACTAATTTCAAGTCACTCACTTACCAGTGAAGTGCTTATTTGGGGTGCAAGTGTTATGTGAGTTTGGATGAGTATAGGTGAATAGAAGGATCACACTAACAGCTACCTAAACACCCAAACCAACATTCTTCGATTAATCTCATGAAAAAATGAAAATTCGTTGGAGACATAGATACTTCTTGTTTACTTCAATAAGAAAAACTTTATATTAACATAAACGTATGCTCCAACCAATGCTCTATCGGCGTAATCACTGTCAATAAGAAAATAATCGAGGACAAAAAAGTGGAGAAGGGCTCAATGACTTCACGGAAAAACATTTGATAGCCAGACACAAAATGTGAATAAATGAGGGTAATTGACTTGAAGAGTTTAAATACTCATTCATAATATACTGTCATGAGCATATAGTGCGCTATTAATATACGTTCGTGGTGTATCTTAGCTTTAGTCAATCTTTTTTTCGAGCACTTCGATAAGTTTTTCTTTCTGTTTCTAGGATTTGCTTGCCTGTTGTTGATACTTGAATCGGTCTTTTTTTTCTTGATTGAATTCGACTCGTTCTTCTCGCACGATGTTCTCTAAGAAAAGTTGCCAATAATCTTGGGCAATCCTACTTTCACGTAACATGTTCTCACGCTCTTGAAATTTAGTCCGATCTAAAAAGAGATATGAGACAAGAAACGCTGAGAAGCCATTGAAGCCATGCTCTTACTGATAAGATCCTGTCTAAACGACACAGCGACAAATGACTTTCGTCTTTTCTCGTCGATCACTTGTTCGATTTTATCATGTGATGTTTTCAGTCGGACATCGTTAAAACGTGCTGTTGTTTCCGTTTGCTTGTTCTGCATGTCAATTATCTCCATATGTAAACGAACGAAATTATTTTTCTCAATCGACTCTTCCCTTTGTTTAATGTGATTCACAGTAAAGGTCACCGTGATACCATGACGGGCACATTGGATAAAATACATTTCTTCTCCCTCTATATTCTGGTCAGCATCGTGTTCAACGTAATAGCTAGCACGTTCAATGGTGTAGGGACCACCAGAATATTTGGTAAATTTGAATCCAATGTAATCATTTTCCTGCACTTTGAACGGTTTAACTTCGATTTTCTGAATTCCAACAGATAATTTGAGATTAGTAATGAACGAGTTCGTCTGTTCTTGCACAAAAAAACGCCCAAGATCATTCGATATTGATTTAATAATGTATACTTTTATTTTTGCACGGGAACGAGTGGGAGCTGTGCAAAAATTGATTAAGACCTTATCAATAGTGCCAGCACGGACAACACGATCACCAACATTAAACACAATCAAATTCGTCACGTTGGCGTCTAATTCACTACTGCCATCGAGAATACTGTAGACATTATCTTAATAGAAAAAAAAAGTCTGAGTTACCTCATACTAATCTTGAATTTGTTTGATACTACTCATGTCCTCTCCCGTATTTTGAGGGCGGATGGGTCCGGGATTGGGTGTAGACGAGACAAAATAACTACAACTGCATTACACACTCATACCCCGACTTCAGTAGGAATAGCTAACATGTTTTGTTAATTGTACCGTAGTCAATGAGATTCACTTCTAATATGCTTACCCTTTTTGTTGCCTAGAGATCGAAGGAATATAATAACCAGCTGAATAGCATAGTATAATAAATTCAATGGTGATGGTATTGGAGATTTAATCGCATACTCTTTAACAAGTAGAAACCGATGGTAAGCCCAATCTTTCTGCGCATTATTGTTGGTTTTCGCCAGCGTAACACTAGAAGCAGAAAAAAATGCATGTAATATTGTGTTGTAATGTAAGTTTACGCATTCAGACTCAACTGTGTCGTAAATGGTGACATGATGGCCATTGTTCTAAGATCACTTGAAATAAGCGAAATTTCTAGTACTCATCGTACTGACTTCCTCTTTGTTCTACACTGCTTTTCTACCCGGGCAGATAAGAATTTAAGAAAACGTATTTAAATGGCATAAAAAGAGTTCCCTTTGGCTGTTTATTCTTCTTTCTCTGATAAAATGGTCGTATAAATTGCTAAACAACAATAAATCGTAAGCGTTTATAAGTAGATATGTTGTATCTTCATTGTTTATGAGCTTTACACGCGTTTTCAGAAATCTTTTTCTATCTGGATGATTATGTAAGCGACTTTGGATATTAAGTTATTTCATACACTGAACGTTAGTGGTGTTTTGAGTAGAAATACTGAATGGAAAGATAATCACCATTAGATATTTCAACAATAGACTCTGCTTGAAAGAAGTATGGATATAGCAAGGACATTGTGTGTTAAGTAGAAAGCAATATAAATGTCATCAATCGGCCCCGATCAGATTTATATTATTCTATTTGCCATTGCTTATGAGTCAATCGAATATATCTTGGTTCTGTGCTACGATTCTCGTAATTTTTAGAGAAATAGATGGTCTTTAGAGAGCCGTTGATTCACCTCGAATATTTCGTCAGATATCTCTTTCATATTTTAAGTCTCTTGAAGAAGCAGAAATTTGCAAAAATCACTATCCGACTATCTAACATGTCGAGCATAGACAGTATCAAGTTTCTTTTAGAAATCATTCTGTGATACTAATCAAATGTTGACTTTTTTCATATATTTTCTTGTACATGACATTTTTCCTACACAAGTTTGACAACCGTCTTAAATCGTAGATATTGAGGAGACCTATTCAAGAATGTATCGCTCCATGACAAAACGAAAGTGCTTGGAAGTTCAGAACTCTCCATTGATCTCTGCTTCGTTTTAGTTAGAATGCTTCTTTTGAATAACTATCTAATCTAGTGTAATAAATAAAATACTCTTCGTTTGATAAAAATTTCTTTTTCTGCAGCAAGTGCGTTGACTGACTTCATTAAGAAGTTTTGTTGAGAATCGAATGCTTACTTAAAAAGAGCGACAAGTACGTTGAGTAGAAGTACATTGGCGATGCAGACAAAAACAATTGTCAACATAAATGCCGTATTTCCATAGGCATCATTAGCAGCTATTAAGAAATATTTTGGATATCAGGAGCATAAATATGACATGGCTTACCTGTAACGCTCGGCGCAGAAACTTGCTTGTAGTCGATAAGATCAATTTGTCCATAAATCTTCCACATGCCCCAATCGATGATATTCCGTAAGAGACTCCATGTTCCGAGGCCGGTCCCATTCTGACTGATATTGTATGTGTGAGATGGTGAACCATCCTCGTTTGGAATCCAGGTAACTTGATATGAAGTAGTGATTAGTGCATAAGAACTGATTGAATAGGCGACAAGAAAAATAAAAATGAAATAAATGAAGAAGACCAAATCTTTCATCTGAAAAAGAATCGAAACGACCTAAATTAGAAAAGCAGAATGCTTTTACTTACTGTGTTAATTATCATTAATAATTTAGGTCCAAGTCGTTCGTAGGCTGCGAATAGGTGAAGAATACGTAAGTACCACAGAAAGAGATCGATGCACATGAAAATTCTTTGAAATACACGGGAAGCTATAGAATAAGAAATAAACATCAAGCAAGCTAACTTTGAAACAACAAAGGCTTGTTCGATGACAATAAATCTCGTCATGAAACCGACGAGATAGATAAAAATAGCCAGAGCATCAAGTATATTCCATGCGTCTTCGAGAAAGTACGATGATATAATATTACGTATGGAACTATTACTTTTTAGTTTTTGACGACAATGAATTCCAAACTAAACACAAACTATTATTCTTATTGAATCGGTTCAAAAGTGACAGGCGGATTCACAATAAAGTGCTTTTCATATACCTCAACGAGTTCTTCAATGATCAAACCCCAAAGACACAGATGAAGAATGATTTCAGTAATTGGAATACCGATCGAATATCTACTACGTTCGCCTCCGTTGTTATTGTATGGAAAATAGTCGGCTAGCATAACGAAACTGAAGAGACCAAGAACGAGTACGTAAAATATCTGCAATGACATTGAATGTATGATTGTTTTCAAGTTCAGTATTATCACCTACAATATTGTAATAGTATCGAACAATGGCTCTTCGACTAAAGAAATCCTTAAGCCTATCGTAGATGATTCGTTTTAGCCAGCTACGTTTTGTCCTATTTTAAACGTTTATTATTGCCCATATAAAAATTTTTCTCAAAAAACAAATCTTATTTTAATCGGGAAATCTAATTATGATCGATAAAAATCATTTTTTCTTTTGAATTACATTAATTTGAGAAATGAATTAAGAAGCTAGCCGATTATAATCAAATTTTTTATGCCAAAAGAAATTTACATGGATAAGTATCAGCAAAATACTTTTTTTCCCATACTCACGCTTGTTTTTTGTTCGGCGATTGAATTATCTGATAAATGCCAGACAATGTCACAAGAAGAGGAAAAATGCACAGAAAATACATCTGTAATATTTTAAAACCTCATTAATTAAATGAAGTTTAGCTATATATCACCGACCAATATATTAACAATATTTTTTCTATGAGCAGACTGTTCAATATTACCATACCAGAGTCGATCGGCATATGCTTGCACGCATTCACTAGCTAGAAATGACCGACTATTCGTTTCTTCAGCCAATTCTATTGGTGTATAGTCGAAATACAGTTTCGATGGTGTTGTCAATAGTTCTAGCGCAAGGTGTTCATCTTGGGAAAAACATCTATCAATAATTTGTGCTGCATGTACATCAAATTCTCTGATACGCAAAACACAATATATCATGAAAGTGATTTTTAAAAAGGACTGGTCATACTTCCTTTGTGTAATGTATTCTCGTTTTTGTTCTTTGTATTCGGTCATTTCAGCTGCTTTTTTATAGATTTTACTCGCCATAAGAGCAGCAACAATGGTGTTCTATAGTACAACCATAAAACGAGTTTTCTTATGAATAAATAATTAATGAAGGACGTACTGGACTGTGTGAACATAAACAAATGGACATATTGAAGTTAGCAGCAAATATTGACCACAGAAAAATATCACGAATGAATTCTAAATAAACAATCGATTGACTGTCACTTATGTTTATTTTTGAATAGGGCTCCCAAATCTCGGTTGATTTAATGATACCCTTTTCAGTCATGAGAGAATTTATCTAATGTACATGATAATACTGTTTTGTGAAAGCCTCATGACATTAATCAAGTCAACATGATTGATATGTAATCATCATACCTGAAGTAGGAATCAGCTGAAAGCTAATGGCTACCCTTCTATGACTCTTCTTGAATTCAATTGGAGCATTGGTCAAATAAACTTCATTGACTGCGTCAAGGTCAAATGAATAACACAAACTTGGATCATCCAAATAGCATGGAGAATGCGAATTTTTGTCAAAGCCAACAGCTAAGTATTGACCTTTTTCCAAGTAGATATGTAAATTGTGTAAATTTAGTATTGATAGGTTCTGTTTATGTTCATGATCGGTGTCGGATATCTTTTCGCTATGGACTACTTGAAAAGAGTTGAGATCCGATGTTGGTGAAAGGATGTAGAGGATTGTATTATGTGACCTATTCATAGTCATAGATGTATTGCGAGAGTTTGAAAAAACTATCGAGACTTGTGTTATGTAGCCATTTTGTCTGATAACATCATCTTCATTGAATACAGCAAATCCGTTCAGATTTGTCTCTAGTTTAACAGGATTCTCGATAGTGCCATATATATCTATATTGTCTAAAATTGAAAGTAAAAATGAGAAACAATATTTATAACCATGCTGTTTGTCGTACTTAGATGTGGTGCTCCCTTTTCCTGAAACAGAAAAACTATGATTTTCTTGAATTTGACCGATGAGATTATTTTACTTTGAGAGATTTAATTATTTTCAGAGCTTCTGTGTTCAGATATTGTTTGTAATACATTTGTTGTTTGTTGTTACCGGTATGTAAGATTTCTTCATCCAATAATGGTAGGCCAGATTTCTATCAATATTCAAAGTTATAAGTTACATCAGTTCTGCATAATCTCACTCACTTTCTTGTATAAGTCATTAAGATTGATTAATCGTCGAAGACGATCGAATGATGCACCTTTTTCAATGAGAAGTTCAACAAACTGTACCGAATCATGTCGTATTGCATGAATTAGAGCACTATCTAATTGAACATCCTTTTGAAAATAGGTAAAAGTCAGAAACAAAGATTCTCTTCTCTTTTAGTGCTCACTGTCCACAAAATTTTGTTGTTTTTGTTGAATATTTCTGACATGGCCAAATCGAATTTTTTCCAAGCCATCGCCAATTTAAGCTTTTGTTCGTGAACATTAAACTTTTCATGCTTCGTCATGATTGCCACTGAATAAAAAAAACTGATTCAAATATAGATTTGTATTAAGAAAATACCTCGGAATAATGCTTCGAGTATGGCATCACCCAATTTAAATTCAGAATCGTCAGGGGATAGTGAAAAAGCATTGATTAAGAAGAAGCCTTTTTTTGACATTATCATATCACGAAAACGCTCTGCATTACTTTCTGTGATGATTTCTGTGTATTCTCTTCTTATTAGTTGTTCTCTAAAACAAAAATTAAATCTTTTTGAGAATTAGACTTCAATTTTACAGAGCAGAATTATTGTTTGTTGGTTGAACATATGTTGTTTGATTGTGATATAATGTATTATATACTTTCGCAATAAAATCGGCCGCTCCTCCTGTGCCCTATGAAAGTTAGAATGCATATTATTTTCATCACTACTGACTTTACATTGAGCACATACTTCAATGACAATGACAGGCGTTTCGTGGGTTACTGCTTCAATCACTGTTAGAAGGGATGAACGACCACCTCCGATCAATATTTGAATAATTGGTGTGTTGTAGTCTATCGAACAAAATATAATGACTAGGCAAAATAATACATCATGTTAATTACTTTGTCTATAATGTGAACTATAACGAGCTTCTCGTTCAATTTCAGCGCGCAACTGAATAATGAGGTCGGCTCGAACATCATATCGTTTTTTCTTCCATTTCTCATCGCCTGCACCACATCTATCATCGAGAAGAATGAAATGAGTATGATTTGGATCGAGAGGGTATGATTGAGGGTTGTCTTGTGGTGCACCATTGCGATAGAGTTTTTCGTGACTAGTTTCTGTGTCATCCATCAATACAGATGTCGAACTCTAGATAATAATTTTGTTTATCAAGTAACTTATGTAAAGCATAGACATACTCTTCTACTATTCAATTCTCTTGCTGGTTTTTGAATGAGTTGTTTATAATCTGGCTTTTGAACAATGAACAAGAATTCACAAGAGAATGACATGTTTATTTTCTCTTACTTGTCGTATAATACCAACTTGCAATCCCAATAACTGGAACTCGAGTATGGGTTTTATCAACACTACTACTCTTGTATATCCATTTTTCGAATGCTTCACCCACATCTTTCATAACTCCAGCATACGTTCCTCCAGTGAACACCCAGGCATCTATCCAAAGATAGAGATAAATAGAATACAAATATTGGTTCTTACCAGTAGTGACAGCAGCTGAGACAAGACCCTTTTGTAGGGTAGCACGACTTCTTTCTGCTAAATTGAAGATCTTGGTACCACCTGCAACTGAGATTATCAGTTCGGGCGGAGGCAGTTCCCATTTATCACGCAACAATTCAAGAAGATTCTTAGCTGGTTCTCGTGTCACGGTTTCAATAGGAATAGTAGAATGGCTAGCAGGCAGTTTTTCAATCGTAGAAAAACCTGTTTGATCATCTTCTTTGTTATTGGCATAAGTAGTTGTCGTCTGTTGGTGAATCTGTTTTGATGTTGCTAACTGAACTGCATTGGGTGGATTGAATGGATAACGTATGTACTAAATTGAATTAGTTCAATATTTTCAATGGAAAAACTTTAAACTTACCCATGATTTACGTTCATTCTGCGTGAAATGTATTTGTCCATAATCTTCGATTCTACAACATACAAATCAATGATGGGATGTAATAAACAGTCGAAATACTCACTTATCGTTCGGATATTGACGATTATTTTCTATCACCCACTAGAATGCAGGAAAAGTATTGCCAGTTTAGCGAGTAAGTGCTCTTTACTACTTGCCTGATGGACGGCTTTCATGATTCGGCTTTTTGATGCTAACTGCGGAGAATTTGTTTCTGTATTGCTCTTATTGTGTACTCGATTATTCTTCATTATGTGTATTTCAAACACTATGATAAAAGTTACCTTCAACGATTTATTTATTGCAATAAAGAGTATAGAGTGAAAATATTCCTTCTCTTTTTTCCCACCCGATACGATTCAAACTGATACGGTTGTTACAGTAAGGTTGATTATGGTGACAAAGGACGAGACAGTGAGATAAGAATGAAACGGACGAACCCAATTTATTATGAATAAAATAAAGAATTTTTTATCTTTCTGGACACAATCTGTGCATGTCGTATATTTGCTTTTAGTTGTTTATTACGAATATTTGATGATTCGTTCTTTAGAGAATTCTTGTAGTCGACTTCTTTTGTAAGAAGACAAGACCGCTTTAGTCGATTCACCTTTGAGAAACTGAAGCGAGTAAACAACAAAGAAATCAGAGAAAATAGTATCAAAAACAGTTCCGTGTTTTTCAAAGTGGATCATGGCATAACATACTTTAAAGCAAGACCAAAAAACGACGTCAAAATCCTATATTCACACCCTCATAAACAGTTTTGTTTGCGTTGTCGGACAAACCCATAATTTGCCACACTTCAGCGCATGATGATCGTATCGACATAGCTCGGTTAATAGTCAAATTCGTTTCGATTTTGAGGGTATGGCAAATTAATGTATCTTGAACCATGAAATAAATCCGACGCCATTTTTTTTCAGCAGCTCATTCAATGTGATCATTACATTACAAAGAATACTCCATCGATTACACGGAAAATAATATTTGGAGAAAATATTGACTACAAACCATCAGGTAGAGAAAGGGTGTGAATGTGACTGAATGGGAATGAACATAGATGTTGTTGAGAATCTGAATCTTTGCTTCAACGATAATCACATCCTAGAAGACAACGCATTTTATCCTTTCGAATTTTTTATTTCAATTGATACATTCTGAATCTGAAATGAATTCTTGTGAATGAAAATAGAATTCATAACGAATTGAAGTGTGTGAATGGTGGGAGTGTAGTGTTGATGTCGGTAAGAATTGAAAAAAAGAAAGGCGCCCACACCCACATCTATTTTAAGCATGCTACATTTCTAGATTCAGTCGAATCGGTTACGGAAAATTTCGACAGGTCTACTGTATAATGTGACAAAGATTTTATGATCTTTTCCACTTTCTCTTTGTAGAAGGATTTTCATCCAACAATCTGATTATTCGCATTTCATGATTCCGTTTGTTTTCCTCTTTATTCAAGAAAATCAAAAGTGTCGAATTAAGATAAAGAATTATAGACCATATTTTAAAGTTTGTGAATCGATATGTAGCTTTTAAAATGTGTTTAGCTATTCACATTCATAGTGAAACGAAAATAAAAATCGATAAAATAATTTTTCAAATGTAGTAAAAGTCTTTCAAATGTCTCAATCATGTGAGTACATATAATGAGTACTTTGTCCTTTGTACGAACCCGTTCAGTTATGCCAATGACTATACAGTTGAAAAGAATTAACATTAATGACACTTTTTTTTCGATAAATCTTGTACAAAGACTTGCTTTTCATTACATTTCATCTAATGGATGGATCGAAAGAGTTTAGATAAATTTTGTTTTTCATTTTTCAATCGATTTTCAGAAAGTTAACAGAAATTCCAAAGCAATCAGTTACCACCAAATTGTTGTGCACGTTTCGAATCTTTGAACGGTTGAAAATAAAATTTCGAAGAAAATAGTTTCATTAATTGATTTTGAAACAAAAAATATGACTGGATTCTGTTTCAAAATTGATTTCATTCTGCTTTTCATTGATTTTTCTCATTACTTTCATATTATTCTCATTGGAAAGTTCATGTCGCTTAATTTCATATCGTTAAAATTGATTGAATTACATTGTGAATTTATTTGGACTATAACACTTGAATAAGAAATGTTATTCTCAGCAATCATGTTCCTATTTTTATACGTATGAGTAGGAATTT